ACATAGCCCTCCATCCTTGGCGTTTATGTATCCGGATGTTCAGACGGGCTTTGACTTGGCTCTCACATATAAAAAGCAAGTTGTGATCTTCAGGTGCAAGCCAGCTGGTACAATTAATTTGCAGACATCTATGGCGTTGACTCTTGTTCCGCCACAAAACCAGGGCATAGAACCGCTGGGTAAGAGATTGAAAGGAAGTAGTAATTTGAAGGGTGAAGAGAGTACTCATGGGGGAAAAGAAATTTGATATTAATTAATAATAACAGTTGAGACTTGAGAGAGAGAGAGGGTACCAAATTGCAGTTATATACATATACATGTTATAATGTAAATACGGAAAGATTAATTAAAGCATGTACTCCTACTGCATAATTAATTTACACTTGTTTCTTCTTCTTCTTCTTCCAAACTGTACTGCGGTCTTTGTTTTCTTTTGAAGCCCTTCCTGCAGGAAAGCTTGAAAGGGCCACCTCCATCTCTTACTCCTTCCCTCCCCTCCCATCACTACTACTACTAAGGACACCTAAAAATTTCACTACCCATAACAAAAAAGACCAAAACCCAGAAGAGGCAAAAAGACAAGAATTAATTAACAGCGATCTTATGGTATGATAGGATATGATGGTGAAGATAAAAAAAAAGGGGGGTAGGTAAGTAAGTAATGATGGTACTAATTTCTAGAGTTCAAAACAAGCCGGAAGCGGCAACGGCGCCGTCTATCGGCGCCATGTTGATCAGGTCAGCGGCGGTAGTAGTGTTTGTAATGATGCTGGTGTCGTCGAATAGCCACTTCTCCAGCAATGAAAGAGGCGGTGGGGCCCCTTCCTCGGTACTGTCATTACTTTGGATGGTTATCGGCTTGCTTTCCACCGACTGCGACCCAGCGTCCGAGTTGAAGCTGAAGAGCGAGTCGAAATTGTTGTGGTTGTTGGTTTTGGAGTTCTGAGTGGTGTCGGAGTGAGCCGGATCTGGCTTCTTCATCCAGCTCCGCAGCAGCCTGGCGATGTTGTCCGCGCTCGACGCGTAACCGCTCGAGTTATTACTACTCGTACTAGCCGACGTCGGCGAAGATTGGCGCTGCTGCTGGTGCTGGTTTGTGTGGTGGAGATGAAAGGGTTTGGAAGAATTGTGGTGGAGGGAGAGGGCGTGGCAGAGGGCTTTCTTGGCGAGGCCGATGTCGGTCTGGAGGCGCCTCTCCCACTGCCCTTTGGAGTGGTTGTGGGAAGAGGAAGCCGTGGGTGAGTCGGATGGCGATCCTCTTTCTTCTTCTTCTTGTTGTTGTTGCTGCTGGTTGTTGTTGTTGAGCTTTTTCTTGAGGTGGGTGTTCCAGTAGTTCTTGATGTCGTTGTCGGTCCTCTGCGGGAGGTAGGATGCGATGGCTGCCCACCTGTTGCCGAGGAGGGCTTGGAGGTGGATGATCATCTTCTCCTCCTGCGGGGTGAAGTTCCCCCGCTTTATCCCCGGCCGGAGATAGTTGGTCCACCGCAGTCGGCAGCTCTTGCTGCATCTCAGCAAACCTGCGCGCGCAGTAAGAAAAGGGAGGTCATGACAGGTAGATAACAGTGAAGAACTATTTCATTAAATTCACACAGGCAGGCAGGCAGCAGCAGAGCGTTTAATGCCCAAAACCAACTCCCCACGCACAAAAATTATCATCCCCAGTAAGAATAAAGGAAAAAAAACACAAAAATCATAGGATCGGCGGGCTAAGGAGAGCCACTGAGAGAGAGAGAGAGAGAGAAAGAGAGAGACAAGTGAGACTGAAAGTCATTAAACCCAGAAAAAAGTGAAGAAGAAATTAGTACAATTATGTTGTAATTATATATTATGACGATCAATTGAATTGTAAGGTGATTAGGGGTACGAACCAGTATTGGTTGGAACGGATCGCCAATTGCCAGGGCCGTGATCCTGAATGTAAGACACCAACATGATGTCTTCCTCGGGAGTCCATGGCCCTTTCTTCACTCCCACTTTCTCACAGCAAGGTGGCCTCCCCATCGCCGCCCCTTTCTTCACTTGCTGCTTAACTTCCTTCTGCTCTTTCACTCTGTCACCTCAATCTGCTTGACTGCTTTGTGGGTTTGGGGAGATGGAAGAAAGAAAGGAAAGGAAAGGGTAGGGAGAGAGACAAGGCGTCAAAGCAAAGGGTTGTTTGGCCTTCCCACTGTGGAGTCTCTCATCCGCGTCTATTTATAGACCAAGATGCAAAACCAGATAAAAAACTAATAAACAAGTAGGAATTGGAATTGGAATTGGAGAGGATGAACAAGAGACGCTACAAACAAAAATGAAGAAGAAAGGGTGGTTTCTTTTGCTTTTTCTTTCTTAATATTTTAATAATGTAAGGCAGACTCAGACTGTGAGGTAATAATTCTTACTCTTTACTTCAGCTTCCAAAAAAGAGAGTCAAAACGGAGAGCAACCAGCATTCACTACTCCATTTTGATTTTGTTGCGAAAAGTCAGCTATGTATATGCTTTGCTTTGACCCCACCACCCTCCTCTTCTCTTCTGATATAATCTAAGCCATCCGAATCCTTCTACTATGCTATATAGCATTGATGTTTTAATGTAGAACCTGAAGTTGTACTATAACATTAAATGTATAAGTTCAGGTTGTATCATAAAGGAATTTGTACAAAATGTATAGGTACAATATGAAGTTGTACCATAGCGTTAAAGGTACATTTTCAAGTTGTACCATAAAGATAAAAACCTATAGTACCAATGCTATATAACATTGTAAAATTCCTCATGCGATCCTCCTTCTTCTTCCATTTGGCCATTTTCACATTACCGTGTGGCATTCATTAACCCATCATGGCAAGGCAGAAACCCCTCTTGTATATCCCTCATCCAAGTTCTTTCAAGACCAAGTAATTGGAGAGAACATTTTACTTATTAGGCTTCCTTTTTTAACGAGAGCTTGTATATATATCTACTCTTAAACTAGTGGAGAGGATCAGGGTGAGGATGATTTTGATGTCAAAAAAATTGCACTACATTTACAGTATTCAACAACTTATAAGAAGGTTAAGTTGAAAAAAAAAAAACTTATAAGAAGGAGGTTGTAGGTCTTCTTGAACTACAAGTAAAATTTTCATTGTATTAACGTCTTCAATTATGTACTTATGAATGTTTATGAATATTGAATGGTGAACATTACTATATATACTCAAATGAGTTAAAAATTAATCATCAAGGGAGGATTCATAGAGTTTAGAATAATAATTAGGTGCTCGATGTAGAAGTTATCCAAGAAGGCCAAAGAGTGTGGGACTGAGACTAGTTGTGGGCGAGGTCATATTCGAACCCCCAAAGATTGAGGGAGAAAAAAGAAGATATAAAGAGAGAGATTTTCCCGATAGAAAATCTTAATAGTTACATCCTAACATAACACCAAAGTTGCCCCTTTTTCACGAGGATTTACCCGTTATAGAGATGCACATAGGAAGTCTTTCTGTTTTTTATGAAAAAAACTAATTTTATTCAGCTAAGACGATATTCTTCTCCAATATGAGTTTTACTGACATCTTGGATGAATTAAAGTGCATATTTTTTTAAAGATTATGATATCATATTACTAATTTATTGTCCAGATTGAATATTAGATGATCTTCTACCCTATTACTTTGATTTGTTTGATCGATATTGCTTCGAAAGATATCCGATTTATAATCTATTTATGTGAAGGGCTCCTTTTCTTTCTCTTTTTTCTTTGCGTTGATAAATGACCTACTAGTAATACATAATAATAATACTTTCTAGGTGCATGGTTAGGGCTGTGTTTATGACAGGATCTAGCTGGTTGACCAAGGCATTTGATTCTAGTAACAATATGGTAAATACATATAATTTGTTCGTCATTCGAAAAAAAATGCATTTAACAATCTGGTTTCACCTCCACTAGATATACTGAGACACATAAAAGTGACCAGTCATAGAGGATCCAAACTAAGTAAAATTTATTGTCGTATTGATGCACCTCTGTACATTTCAAAAAAAAAATTACTGCAAAAAGCACCCTGGCTAGGGCATTTAATGCATTGCCGTTTTGGATTCTGCATATATGGCAATGGCATTGATCCCGCTTCAACCATTTAAAAAATAGACCAAAAGCCAAAGTCCTCTACATCCCAAACTGTGTTTCAAAAAAGCTTCTTGGACTTGTGCATACCCTATCACTACAAAAAAAGGAGCTATACCAAGGGTTTTATTGGCCTGTAGCAGGGGTTTTAACCCCTGCTATAAATTGTAGCAAGGGTTTGTAAAACCCCTGAATCAACCCTCACATATGCTACCCCTGCTATGGATAGCAAGGGTTTTGAGAAACCCACGGAGGAAGTACCATCCAGGGGTTTTAGCAGGGGTTAAAACCGCAGCTACTCCTAGCTAGGTGTAGAACCCCTACTACATGACAGTTTAAAATCCAACAAGGAAATGTTCATACCAAGGGTTCTAACCCCTGCTACACGCGTAGTTAAATTATTTACGGTCATAACCCTTGCTAGTGAATGTTATAGCTTCATTTGAATTACATTTATTCCAAGGGTTTAAACCCCTGCTAAATTGGTGGCTAATATAAAAATAATTTGTGACGATATCAGACCGTCCCTAAAGAGAATGCAAAGCTGTCACTAAAAATAAATTCAAAGTTGTCACTAAATAGGACCACCAAAACTGGTGGTTATAACCTGGTTGCAAATACTATAGTCACTACAAACTGGTGGTCAGAACCTGATATACAATAGTGACCAAATTCATACCGTCTTAACTAATTCGTACCATACATACCATACAAAACCATCAATATTCCATAATCCGTACCATGATTCATGATCCATAATCCGTACCTCAAAAATTCCATGTACCATAATATAATCCCTACTAACAACATTGGCAATCCATAAAAACATAACAACCTACTAGAATATTACTCAAAAGAACCTACATGATAAACTCATGATTCAACATCCTTCATCTAAGAGCATCACGGCATCAAGAAGCTCGAGAACCCAAAGATGGGGCAATACTGGCACCCTGAAAAAAAGGAAAAGAAATATCAACATTATGCCTAACCACAACCCACAACTCATTCATTGATTCATCGATATCAGTCGATTTAGAGACTCAAATTGCACTATGGGATTCTCCTCACCCTTTTCTCTTTTACATCCCTATTACTAAACTACCTCAAACAAGAGAAAAGGAGGGGAGAGAATTGACCGAATTGTTTTCGGCATCTTCCATCCAATTTTGCCTAGGAAATTGCTTACTGATGAATCTTGCCATGACCTCCATTTTTTTCTTCACCTCACTTAACTCTCCTTTCAAAGTTGGTACATCTTCACTCGAATGACTACATGAACATGAGCTTGGTCCTGATGCAGCCCCACGCGAGTAAACTCCAAAATATGCGCTCTGAGTTGGCCCTAACCCCATGCATCGAAGCCTCCCAGGATGCTCTGGACCTGCTAGCTTTTGGAAAACCTCCTCACTAGGTCCCTCCATTTCATTTGCTTTATCCTGCAGCAAAATCACATGTTAGATAAATACCAAACACCACCAGCAACACTACTAATCTACTAAAGCAAACTATGTCTCTCATTTCACATATGAGTAGGAGCTACCATAGGAATTACCATGAACTCCTTAGCATGATCATTGATGTATGTCCCATCCTTTCTCTTATGGTTAGCTTCGAAAACTTCAAGCCTAGTAGGAGTTCTGCCTAATTTTTCCTTCTGCAATCATTGTAACATATTAGAATTTAGATTAGAACAAAATTTGATCATATTAATTATAAGAATGTACATAAAGCAAAACAGAAACAAATAAAGTTTTACCAGTTGCTTTCTCGTCCTTGCAATGCTCTTCCTTCCTCCTGTGTGAAAAACATTCTTCTTCTTTGCATTAGCACGGTTGACTGCACTTCTTTTCTGCACAAATAAGATTTTTACTATTATATATCTACTCTAACTCTGAACTAGCAACATAACTGAAGTGGCAACATCACTAGCAAAAGGACAAGACATAGGAATAAAAGAAGAACAACCCTACAGAAAAATTGCAGCAGCAGAATCATAGGAATAAAAGAAGAACAACCCTGCAGAAAAATTGCAGCAGCAAAATAATTAAACAAATGCACCAGAACTGGTACTTTTAGTCACCCCAATTCATGGAAGCATACACAAACAACATGGGTTCGAATTTCAACAGAATGAAGTTGAAATTAATGAGCCAATCATCATCATTATCAGGACATAGGGTTTACCTTGTTTTCCTCGGAAAACCAGCTAGCTACCAAGGTGTACCACTGATTTGCATCTGTAACACCTTCTGGCAGTCCCTCTTCCATAATACTTTCCACCGTTTTCCCAACATCAAAGTGTTTGCTCTTTAAATCATACTTGAAGTCGACCCATTTCTTGTCAACAAGTTGCAAAATCCACCTTTCTAAACATACAGTGTAGCGGAACTTTGACTACACAAAGAAAGACCAAGAAATATAAGTATATAGTGAATAAACCAAAGGAAACAACAGTGGTATTAAACTGTGGGTACAGCAGTGGTTTTACCTTGGTAAGGCTTAGTATCTGTCTTTTAAATGGTTTGAACTCCTTTCTTTTCCAATTCTCAATCGACAGTGGAGTCAAGGTGTTGTTTTTCGCAATTGTCCCAAGAAAGGATGACAGCAAGCATGACTCTTCACCACTAGTAACTCCAAATTCGTCAACCTCCACATCGATTCTTTCACTTGCGTCCATATTCCAGATATCTTGCACTCTTGTCTTTCCTCGTTTATTACCGTTTGCAACATTTTCTCCTAGCATCAAATATACTTGTAAGCAATTTTCCAGACATTTATATTAGATAATATGACTAAAATACCAGGAATATACCAATGTTATCCGCAGATCCTTCTTCACGTTGGGAGAATGAGTGTCCTTGCTGAATACTTTCTTGAATGCTAGATTCAGTAACGATTCTCACATTTCTCAAATTTCTTGAACTCGAAACCATCTGTAGTACACGATAAATATGGTATTCATAAGCAAACGATAAAAAAATCAAACCAAACAAAAGAAATAAAAACACAATCACCGAATTATCACATAGCCTGTAGTACATGAGAGCAAGACAGAGACATAATCCTCAGTCCATAGGCAGAAAATTAATAAGAATAATCTAAAGACATAACTGAACTAAATAATTAGACAGCATTTAGCAAATAATAATATGCTAAATTAGACAGTACATAAATAAAACAGTACATAAAGTTAAACTGAAGTATAACTGTATAAGTAATGATCAATTTCCTCTGAATAAGCAACTGAAACGACCAAACCATGCAAGGGTCATTGCATCAACCATACTTGATTATAGTATGCAAGTACGATGGTTTCACAATTAAAACGATTGAAGATCATGGCCAGTGGTATACAAAGTGTAATTGCAGAGTCCAAGCAGCATAGTATCTTATAGATGAATGTGATTAATTGTGAAAGACTAACTCAAAAATCATGTCAATATTGAAAAAAAGAGAAATGGATTGAATTTACATTGGTAAATGGTATTCTAACCTTCGGCGTAGTAGTACAAAAATCAGGATTTCAAGAGTACAAAGTACCTGTTTAATAATAATAGATAAAGAATCAGCTGCCATTGAGCATTGGAACCGAAATTGAAGAATCAAATAAAAATGCAGAATAATAGTAAACATGAATTGGGTTTGGCATTACCTCTCTAAAGGATACATCCATCTAGAATGAACTGGTCCACCAAGTTTTACCTCTTCTACTAAATGGACTAGCAAGTGCACCATAATAGTAAAAAATGACGGTAAGAAAGTCTTCTCCAAGTGGCAAAGAGTCAAAACAATCCTACTTTGAAGCTTTTCAAGATCAGCAAGAGTCAACACCTTCGCACATAATCCTTTGAAGAAAGCTGCTAATTCCACCACGATACAAGTTACCTCAATAGATGGACTACAAGTTCTCAACACGACCGGAAGAATATCCTCGATCAAAATGTGACAATCATGACTCTTCAGTCCACTGATTTTGCATTCATCTACGTTTACACATCTTGATATGTTCGAGGCATAACCATCAGGTGTTTTCATCCTCTTTAATGCTTCACAAAGAGCATGTTTCTCATCTTTTCTCATTGTGAACAAAGCTGGAGGTAGTCTATTTCTTCCATTTGCCAAAAGTTCAGGATGCAGCTCACTTCTAATATCCATATCCACCAAGTCACGACGAGCATTCAAGTTATCCTTGGATTTACCATCCAGATTTAACAAAGTGCCAATGAGATTATCACACACATTCTTCTCTATATGCATCACATCAAGGTTGTGACGCAATAAATTATGCTCCCAATAAGGCAGTCTAAAGAAGATACTCTTCTTTTTCCAACACTTTGCCCACTCTGGAAGTTCATTGACTGTAGTTGTAATGCGACGACGACGACGACCCCTCTTTCTCTTTTTCTTATTTTCCTTCCCATACACAAATTCTCTAGTTTCTAGATGCCTCAATACCTCACTTCCAGTCTTCCACTCTGGTGTTGTCCTAAACTCTTCAGTTCCATCAAAATGAGAACTCTGAATTCGAAAAGGATGAGCTTCATCTAACCAACGACGATGTCCCATATAACAAAACTTTCCACTCTTGTCTAACCTTTTCGAACATGTGGATTCACAACAAACAGGACAAGCAAATCTGCCATGTGTGCTCCGTCCAGTTAAGTTACCAAATGCAGGAAAGTCATTTATGGTCCACATTAAAGAAGCACGCATATTAAAATTCTTCTTTGTAGAAGCATCATAAGTTGTCACCCCCTCCCAAAGTCAAATCAAATCTTCAATCATTGGCTCTAAGTAGACATCAATATCATTTCCTGGACCTTTGGGTCCAGGAATGATCATTGACAATATGAAAGCAGATTGCTTCAAGTACATCCATGGAGGCATATTATAAGGTATCAACACCACAGGCCATGTACTATGGCTTGTTCTCATTGTTCGATGCGGACTAAACCCATCACTGCTAAGAGCCAATCTGATATTGCGTGAATCAGAGGCAAAACTGGGGTGTCTAGCATCAAATGCCTTCCAAGCTTCTGCATCGGCCGGATGTCGCAACAACCCATCTTTCTTCCGACATTCATCATGCCACCTCATGTGTTTTGCCGTCTTCTCAGAAGCAAATAGTCTTTGTAACCTCGGGATTAATGGAAAATAACGCAAAACTTTTGTTGCTTTCACCTTGCGGCCATCTATATCTCCAAATTTATATCTAGATTCTTCACAGACATAACAAGAATCAGCATCTTTTGTCGAATTCCAATACAAACTGCAATCGTTCGGACATGCTTCGATTTTTACATAATCCAAGCCCAGCTTCTGAACAACATTCTTAGCTGCATAATGAGTTTTGGGTAAGGAAATACCTTCCGGAAATGCTTGCAGTAACAACTGAAGTAACATGGTGAAAGATTTTGCAGTCCATCCATTATGAACCTTCATGTGATATAAATGCACTAGAAATGATAGCTTTGAAAATGTTTTGCACCCCGGATAAAGCTCTTCATCTGCACCTTTTATCAAATTCTCTATTTCACGAGTATTCTGTAATGGATCATCCATCACGATCATCATTTTCTCCCTCAATATCCTCCAAGAAGTTTTCATCCTGCTCACAAGGTACTTCATCGTTCACTAGATCTTCACGGCGAAAGACATCACGAAGCAACCCCCTCAAATCTGCTCTCATTGGTGGGTTTGATTGAATAGGAATAGATACTCTCTCCATACCCATAGTTGAAATATTTGTCATTGAGGAAGAAGAAGTGGCAACATCACTAGTTTGGAAAGTTTCTCCATGAAAAACCCACGTCGTATACCCTCTTAGAATACCATCACAAATGAGATGTACTCGAATATCATCATATGTTTGTGCATGAACATTTGCACACTTGACACAGGGACACAACACCTTTGATACATGTGAAACATTTCGAAATGCATAATCCAGAAAAAGTTGCACTCCGTCTCTATATTCAACACTTGTTCTATGCTTTTTCATCCAACTCTTGTCCATTTTGATTCTGAAAAAGGAACTCACAGCTGCAAAAATGGAAACCGAACCATTGTTATTAGTGGAAAAGCAACTTTGAAAAGCAACTCTGCTACTACTACTCTCTTCAACTGGCAACAAAGATCCTCCTTTGTCTCCTTCCAATTTTCATTTTCTTCATCCAGCTGTCCATAAACAACGGTCAGACCTTGAAGTCCACAACACAGATTGCCAGCAAACTTTCGTGTTTTGGTCAGTTCATTCCACTCCCAGACTCTCAGCACCATCTGTCTCACTGAGCTGCAGCTTCTACGGTTTTCCTTTTTTCTGCAGACAATCGCTTACAAGCTCTGGTAAACATGGAGGCTGAGCAGTTCCATGTCCCAAGGGTCAAACTTGGAAGTCAGGGACTAGAAGTGAGATCCAAATTCCTAGCTTCCTATGCTTCTTGTCCGAAGTGCAAAGCCTGAAATTTTTTAGCGTCGCACTTGAGTTAGAAAACCCAGTTCTAGGATTTAATTGAACATTTTGGGGATTTGGTCTCAGTAGAAGATCAATGAGATTAGAATTCTGATCATATAGGTCTTATTACCTCTGGATTTCTTCCAGGTCTCAAAATTGGGGTTTGGATGCATGGGTCTGACGGGAATCTACAATGCTCCAATGACTGATGAGGAAGGAATTTCACTCTTGACGTATGCCTTCAGCAAGGGAGTCACCTTCTTGGACCCAATTGCCGGAGAAAGTAAATAGTAAGCTTCCGTCTTCTCCTAGTTAGCTTCTCGCACTTTTCCTTCGTTTCCACAGCAACCCAGTTTCCTTCCCTGCCCTTCGATATCCATTTCCTCTTTCTGGGTCTCCTTCCTTTTTCTTCTCTCTTCCTCTTCTTGATGTCGGATTTACTTTCTCGGTAACCAACAACCAAGAATGAGAATGAGAACAGGCAGATCCCGGCGACAATGCCAAGCTGGGAGTCGGACTCAAAAGAAAAGAACGGCGGTGGGCAGATCTAAGATTTTTTTATTTTTTGTTTTTTGAGAAAGGAATTTTTCTATCGTGAAAGAATGGGGTTAGTATTGAAAGAGAGTTGCTCTATAGCAGGGGTTCCAAAACCCTTGGAATAAACCCCCAGTATAATGAGTTTGTAAAATATTACCAGGGGTTAATCAAACCCCTGCTACATAACCCTTGGTATAGCTCCCTTTTTTTGTAGTGTATCCAGCTATTTATCATGAGCCATGGAGTATGGCCAATGACAAAAGTTGTAGTTGGTTTT